TACGGACGGTCTATTTGGTTTAATGGCTATGGACGTATGGGTTTGTGTTTGGGGCTATGCCTTGTCGCTAATTACTTTCGATTCAGGTTTGGTGACATGGTTGGTGGGCCACCCTTACATCTAAGGGGCGCAGAAGGGAGCCGTGGTTCGGGTCAAGTGCAACTGGGCTTTCCTTTGGAATTGGTGGAGCTGGAGTGGTTTTGCTGGCAAGGCATTAGTGGAGAAAATTCTCCGGAAGGTAACAAGGGGTACTGTCCAGGACATTCTGCTAATCCGCGAGGGCGCAAAGGATATCGGCATGGTCCCGGAAAAGGAATTGATCAGGTGGATGCAGAGGGAGGAGGACCGGCTATGGGAGCTGGCCAAAGGTGTGGTGGTGGTGCGGTCCGAGATGGTTCCTCGGTTACATTGGAGACATACTAGGTACCCGGCCACGGTGGCTCGGTGTCGAGGACGAATTAATAAAAAATTGATGGCGGTATTTATCAGATGTGGGGGCGGTGTAACAGTGAGACACAACGAATTGGGAGGCAAGCTCCCTAGGTACTCTAGGGGGGATGGGGTACGTTTTCAGATGTAAGGTGTGATCTGTTTGAATTGGGCCTTCAGGAAGGCATTCAACAGGCCTTATTTCGGTGTGGTGGGGGTCGCTCAGGAGCTTTAGGTGTCAAGTCCTGAGCTGTGGCGGGGAATGGCCTGGTTAAATCGGAGGGTAGATGGAGGAGAAAATGGTCATCCTGAGGTTTAGTGTGGATTGGGCAGTGTTGCACGTAGTTGGTAGGTTCGAGCCCGTCGGTGGCTCCGAACCTGGGGGTGTGGTGGTGTCTTGGTACACCCTACACTGGAACTGGTGGGTAGCGGTCTCTTTGTACACTCCTACAATGGATATGGTGGGTAGCGGTGTCTTGGTACACCCCTACAATCGATATGGTGGGTAGCGGTGTCTCGGTACACCCCTACAATTTAACCTGGTGGAAATGTGATCATATTGGGTGGCCAGTTTCTGTATTAACATGTTATTTAGATTGTTATAGATTGTTATTATTGTGGGTTCATTGCTAGGGGTATGTTATGTATATGGGGGAATGTTAACTTTAATAAGATTTGTTGGCAATGACCCCATTTGTTATTCCTTAATTATTTTATTAATAATTTAATAAAGCTGTGGACTAATTATTTCCAACAGTATAACCTGTGTCCATGTTTTAATGGGGGTTTGGGTAAGGTTAGCGCATATGCCGGCAAATCCGACTGTGCGCCTGTCAAGTGTACATGTGCATGTCATATTATATTTATACTTATTGGACATTAGCCATTTAAATAGGAAACCTATATCTATAATCAGTAATTCTAACCTGGACTTGAGTAAACTTACTCGACTTTAATCAAGCTTATGCCTTTATATCTGTCTCAATGATATCTCTTGCTAGTCACTGTTATACCTCTGAATTTACATGTACATACTACATACATAAACTTGTTACGAGTATTGCACACATAAATACTCTAACATAAAAATCTACCAGTTAAAAAACATGTTTGTTTTAGGAGGCCATCAAGCGTTTTTGTATTCATATAAAAGGATGATATGATATAATTTCATTTAAACTACGGGGTGCAACTGTATTCAGCTCTTGTATCCAAAATGTCTCTCTTCTTAATAATAAATTTCCTCTATCTCCTCCCCGTCTTGGTAATGGTACATGGTCTATTGCCACGAATTTCAATGCCGTAAGTGGATGTTTATATTCTAAAAAATGTTTTGCCACTGGCTTATCGGTTTGTCCATCCCTGTATGCTGTTCTAATATTCTACCGATGACCTCTAATATGGCGCAAGGGCAAGATATCTTATAGACCACATACGGCGTTTTACAGGTGATTGTATATTTGATTCTGTACATCTTGTTTTTATGCGGGTGATTAATCGTCCGTGAAGGGACCATGTGGCCTCAGGTCACGCATCCTAAACAACGAATACATCCTCTTATATGTGGCTTTTGTTGCTGTAAATAACATTGCTCAGGGTCGGTTTTTACTAATATATCCTTCAGGTTTATATAGGCACACTATTCACTTTCATAGGCATGTCACAGCACTTTTCATATACAGAGGATGTACACGAGTATCACTTTAAATTTTTAAGCACTTTAAAAACTTAAATGCACTTTAAATTAGTATGTGTCCTTAAAAGGTACTTTAATATGAGTACCTGAAAATACGTATATATAACACATAAATTAATTGATGTAAATAATGGTAGTACACACGTAAATATCGTTCAAGTCACATTGAGCACTTTAATGTATATATAATACACGGTTGTCCCTTTGGATTTTTATGCACTTTAATGTACATAAAAGTATTTAAGTCACTTTAGATAAAGACTAGCTCTAGTGAGATATATGTACATATTAATTCAGCAAGATATAAAAGGTTATAGTACCTGGTTGAATATAACGGGCATCGAATAAATATTTGTTATGCAGCATATAAGAATTGATTGTTATAAGCATGCTGTTTTAATCATTTCATATAAGGATATGTACTGTTAGGTTATACTATGTCACTGTAAATAAGTATGATCGTATGCATGATCTGGTGGTTCACAGTCCCGGTGCACATTTAGATATGTTACCCCAGTTGCTATGGAGCCCGAGGTAACATCGGGTTACCGGGGCAACAGGGAGAGCCATCAGCACTCAACTTCCGGGATGCGATATGCTGGCACATACGCACTTGGAATAGAGGGACGCCGGAGAAATGAAGTGAACACCTGAGGGGTGAGTGTTTTTTCTAATTAACTAATCAATTGTTTGACTATATAAGTTTTGTTTGTATCATATGTATTGTGTGTGATGTATTGATCCTGAGGAAAGCCACGGATGGTGGCTGAAACGTCGGTCTGGTTTTAATGGATATACAATAAAAGAAGTCTCTATTTCAAAAAACCGTGAGTGCAAGCCTCTTACTACTTTTATTATGTATATATATATTGAAAGAGAGAGAGAATAAAGAATATGGATGGAATAAGTGTTTGGCTTATATATAAGCACTACGGAATCTGTTGGCGCTATATAAATGGCAATAATAATAATAATAATATATTACACATAATAAAAAGGAGTATGGAAAGGACAGAAGGGTAGTGAAGTAGAGGAAGGGAGAAGCGCTTCTTAGTGATTGTCAGTCAGGTGAGTGTTTCAGAAATTTTATCCAAGGTTCCCAGGATCGTATCCAAGGTTTGTATATTGTTAGATTACATTTTATGCTCTATAGAACGAGCAGTACTTATGTATTACATTACAAAATATAGATTAAAACCATGCATCTACTTTAGAAGATCTATCTAATACCAATATGAAAAATAGAACTGTTTGTAAAAACTCCTCTTGTCCGAATTGTACAGATTGTCATTGTCATCAATATATACTAATATCCTAATATTATGTTAGGTAATCATACTAATAAAGTAGATAAAAGCTGAACTGTCACTTTTTTTATATTCACTAGATCACCATGTGCTCCATTTGTTCCCAGGTTGTTTTTAAATACAATGCTTGCCTTTATTTGTCTACCCATTGGGTCTAAATTCATTGTGCTGCCTTCTTCACTATTCTACTGATTAAATGTGCTGTATGTCCCATTCTGCTCATTGACACAATAAGCTGAAGTGGTCTGAGTGCCTACAGTGCCCCTTTAACTGGTTATGCACCTCTTCCAATTCCCCCTTAGAGTAGACTGCATGCTTCAATAATCAGGGTTCACTGTACCATCTGCTACTTCCTGTTTCAACATACTACAAATTAATACATTTCATCATTGTTTAAAATTGAAGAATCAGTTTGGAAATTATAAATATGTTACA